TTCCCCCAAACACACACACACACACACACACACACACACACACACACAGAGACACGCACATACATTATAAACACAAACATAAACAGACACACTCTCAGACACAAACACATACACGCTCACACAGACACAAATTCTCATAGACACACACAGACACACTCACACAGCAGACACACACTCTCAAAGACACACACAGCCACACACTCACACAGACACACACACATACATACACACACTCATACACGGATGTACAGACACACACACACACACCGACACTCACACAGACACACAATCACACACACAGAAAGACACACACACACTCACACAGACACATACAGACAGACAGATAGACAGACAGACACACACACATACACACACACACTTATAAAGACTCACGTAGACAGACACATACACACACACTAACACACAGATTAAAACACAAACAAATATACACATTATTACACATAAGCACACACAGGCTTATACACGTACAGATGGAGAGACACATACACACGCACACACAACCAAACACACATGAAAACACACTAAAAAAACACTCATAAACACATGCATACACTATCTTATACACATAAGGATGGACAGACACACACACACACACACACACATGCACACACACACACGCAGACACACACAGACACTTACACACACACACACGCAGACACACACACAGATGCACAAACATAAAATCACAAAAAGAAATACAGATACACACAGGCACACACACATAGACACCCTCACAGAAGCGCACACAGACACACACATACACACACACACAGACTCAGAGACACAAACAGACACTCACACAGACAAACTCAAACACACGCACACACATACGTACACACACGCACACAAACACTCATACACACATGCAAACACAGGCTTATACACATACAGGTGGACAGACACACACACACACACATGCACACGAACACACATACACACAGACACTTACACACACTTACACACACACACACATACCCACACACACGCATACACACACATACCCACACACACACACACAAACACACACACACACACACCCTCTCTCTCTCTCATTTTCGTTCGCTCGTTCTTTCTGTGCACGTGTGCATTGTGTATAATGTGTGTGTGTGTGTGTGTGTGTGTGTGTGTGTAAGTGCAGGTGTGTGTAAATGTGTGTGTCCATCTGTCTCTCTGTGTTAGCCTTTATAACTATATGAGTATATGTGTGTGTGTGCTTATAAGTGTGTGTGTGTGTGCGGGTGTGTGTGTGTTTGTTTCGGTCTGTCTGTATGTATGTGCCTTTATAAGTGAGTGTGTTTGCCTTTGTGTGAGTGTGTGTGTGTGTGTGTGTGTGTGTGTGTGTGTGTGTGTGTGTGTGTGTG